GGGTGCCTGGCCAGTCTGAGTGAGGGGCTGAGGGCCGTTTTCAGGCTGGCAGGCGACTGGAGCTCCAAACCTCTCCTTTTTTTCTGTTTTTTTTTTTTTTTTTTTATTCTGGCATTTATTTACCTTCTATGGCTGTCACTGGAGCTGAGAGCCGGCTTTCTCTCTGAGGCTCGGCTGAAAGCAGGTTTCTGGCCTTTGTTTTCTGTATTCGAAACAATGTTGCGACTCCAGCTCTGAGATCCCAGCTGACTGACAGGAGGTTTCTATAAATATTACAATGTTTCCAACTGAAGCTCAGAGGCCGGCAAGGCAGGCGGGGAACGTTGGAGTCCGCAGCAAGCAAGCCTCCTGTTAGCTTCCAGCTGCCTGGCTGCCGGCCGCCATCTTGGCTGACAGTTAATTTGCATATACTCACTGATTAGCCAATAAAAAGGGTAGCGGTCGTACGCTAATTACCATGTTTCTCTTTTATTAGTGTAGATTGTCTCCTCCCCTTATCTTTCTCCTCCCGTCTCGCCTCCCCTTCCCCGGGATGCAAGCACTACAAAAGCAGAGATAAACATCTAAGAATGGTACTTGACACATGGTAGGAAATGTTCAAATATGTACTGAATGAATTAATACTATTTCTCTCTTCTGAGAAATATCAAGCATCAGTGAGTTTGTGGTTATACTGCTGCTTGTCAAGAGCAGATTTAGTTGCTTTACTCTGGAGGAAGATTTTACATGGTCATAAAGATGAAAACCTTTAACAAAGGTACTGCCTGAACAGGAGATCTTTCATTCTACAAATATTTATTGACCATCTAGCAGGTGCCTGGCTCTATGTTCGGTTTCAGATACCAATGAAAAGAAAAACCACCATTGTCCCTAATATAATGGAGTCAGTTGAATATAATGTATATTGACCAAATAATCAAGCAAATAAGTGTCTGCAAACTGTGATAAATATTGTCCTGAACAGAATTGGGTTGAGGGAGAATATCAGACATGACTCAAGTCTTACTTCAAAAACAATTTTGGACTTTTTTCCAGCCTAAGGCTGATTGAAGACATTGAAGTTACAAAGTTCTATACTAAAGTTCATAGAGAGCATGGCAAGAATTTTGGCTTGGAGCCGTGGCCGGTGTGGCTCAATTGATTGGACTTTGTCCCATGCACCAAAAAGTTGCTAGTTTGATTCCTGGTTAGGGCACATGCCTGGGTTGTGGGATCCATCCCCAATAGGAGGCGTGCAGGAGGCAGCCAATTGATGTTTCACTCTCACATCAATGTTTCTCTTTTTCTCTCCCTTCCGCTTCCTCTAAAAATCAATAAAAAATCTTAAAAATATTTTTCGGTTTGGAAAGAATTCAAAGCAGATGTAATAAGTTTGCTCAATGAATGTTTAGTGTTTACACTCTAATGTTACATTAAGTACTGAAAGGATATAGAGATAGTATTCATAAAAAGTGGGACAAAATTCCTCTCTTCAAAGAGTATAATATCACCCTGAGAAGTAATTGATGCATGATGACACTGGTTGACCCCCTCAGTTGTACATAAATATGCTGTGTTTTGCTATTGTGCTATAATTCTGGCTTCTGAAGATGAAGCACAGAAATGAACTACTTGATAGAAATTTCCTTATTCACTGAAGATTAAATTTCCACATATAATAATTTAATCTAAATTATATATTAACATTTATTCTTAAGTAACATTTTACTATCAAAGTATTGTTTT